CACACATGGTCGTTTTTTTCGTCTAAAAACGCCTTACTATATATGGTCGTTTTTTTCGGCTAAAAATGCCTGACTATACGTGGTCATTTTTTTCATCTAAAAACGCTTTACTATACATGGTCGTTTTTTTTCGGCTAAAAACGCCTTGCTATACATGGTGATTTTTTTCGGCTAAAAACGCCTTACTATACATGGTCGTTTTTTTCATCTAAAAACGCCTTACTATACTTGGTCGTTATTTTTGGGTTAAAACGCCTTACTATACATGGTCGTTTTTTTCGGGTTCAAACGCCTTACTATACATGGTCGTTTTTTTCGGCTAAAAAGGCCTTACTATTCATCAGGGGTGTATAACATATGGCCGGAACTGGCCCGCAAGGAGGTTTGATCAGGCTCGCAGGATAATTTAAAAGTGAAAAAATGCACAAAAGACACGGAATGAATATTTTTAATAAGGTACAATTCGTGGAATATCCGCTAGGGGGAGACACTGTTTAAAAAAAAGTGTGAATTTGAGAAGAGGACATCCTTATTCATGGCACTGTAGTGGATAACAGAAGTAGGTGACAGTTAAATCAAGAAATGTTAGAGGGAAGCTGTTGACCTAAATTGTATGTTGCTCTCCTTTAGAGATTAGATAATTTAAACTGAAGTTTACTGTTATGTTGGTGTGTCACAGATGGTTTTACATTCCATGTAGAAATAGAAGTTATTTCTGGGCTTATGTAGTTTCTGATACACTAGTTATTTAAAAAAAGAAAATGTTGTCATTCTGCTTTGAAATAAAACGTTTTACATCATTTGCGTGAAGACGAGTCATTTCAATGAACTGAGAGCACAAAAAAACAAGGCTGCACTTTTTGTCCAAATATAACACTGGTCAACACAAAAAGAACACCGTAGTGAAGCATGGCTGTGGAATCGTCCTGCTTTGTGGCTATTTTCCATTCAGCTCCACTTGAGGTAAGATCTTAAGCCCGAGCCCGACCCGTCCCGAAATTCGAGTCGGGCCTAAAATGTCAATCATTGCTTCGGGTCGGGCCGGGCTTCTCTCTCGCTGACTTTTTTTTTTTTAGTTTCGGGGCCGTGAATAGTTTTGGCCAAGAGAGACCGTGGTTCGCAAAAAACCAGAAGTCGCCTCATCACAACACGTATTGTACTAAACTCTTGCAATGACATTCACAACACGTACTGTACTAAACTCTTGCAATGACATTTCAAAGAACTTCTTCCTGTCTCTGTCTATGATCCACCCATCATTATTCTTTTTTGTCTCTCTGCTTCTCTAGATTCCGTGCTAGGTTCTTAAGGACGTACTGCTGCGGTGGTTTACGGCCCAATTTTCAACCCGTCAAAATGACGGACGGCCTTAGATTTTCCCCGTCCACTCTGAAAAAAAAATCCGTCAATGATAGAAAATTGTCCGTTAATGTAACCTCTTCAGAAACAGAAATATAAAAGATGTAAATGTTTATACAGTCTTGTTTAACTTAGATTTCGTTCCAAAAGACAGGCTTTGTTATCAGAAATCACCCCTCCTCCTGCCGAGTCCTCACAAATAAAATATGAAATGTCGGGTTTGCTTCGGGCTCGGGCCTGCAAATCAAGCTAAGTGATCGGGCTTAAATACCCTCAGGCCGGTTCGGGTCGGGCTCGATTTTTTAGGACCGATCTTATCTCTACTTGACATCTACCGAGGCCGTATGTGGCCCACAATGTGAAATGAGTTTGACACCCCTGGCCTATCCTCACAAGGGTCGCGGCGTGTGCTGCAGCACTGTAATAGGCCTCAATGGCAATGAATGAGTTTTAAGGGTATTCACAGCACACAGTCCCGTACTTCCCAGCATTTTTCCTGAGATTTGATTCTTTTTTTTTTTGTCTGAGTTCAATTACATTTACAATGTGTTAAAAAGAAAAAGTGAAAACAATACATATAAACATGTGTAAAGCGTGTGACAAAACATTTGCCAAATTATAATAAAGGTAACAGCTAATGAAAACGTGGCCCCTTGCTTCATTTTTTTGTGTGCTTGGCAGAGATCAACGTAAACATTTGTCTTTCCTCAAAGCCACATGTTTGTCTCTTGGTCTGAACAAAGTGGGTCAAAAGTTCCAGGAGGGAAAAGTCAAGCATGCTGAAGTCTTGTGACATCCACCTGACAAGCTTCCAAGTATCAGCAGCCAACGTCATGCCTCCTCCTTGTCCCACTGACGCGTGATCACCATTTGTGCCCTTGTGGAATCTTTCGAACATCCATCAGCGCTCCTGGCAGCCTCTTACTGTAATTGTCTGCCTTGTGTTTCCGAAGGGAACACGGGCTAATCTGCGTGGTTCGTCTGGGTCGCGTCGAGGACACGCGTCATGAGCTCGTATCGGTCAGTCACGTGACGCCATTGAGATGTCATTTTTACGGGACCAGGAAGAAAAAAAAAAAGACTGTGTTTTGCCAAGCGAAACATTCCCCTCAGCTGGAGGTCTGACTGGAGCAGCTTGTTCTCTAATTAATACCCGCATCCTGGAGACCAAGAGGAGGAGGTGTAGGCGGGGGAGGGGCGGAGATGAGTGGGCGGATGGGGGCGGTGGGGGAATTCAGAGTTTTCCAAAATAAAAGTGCTCAAAAGGCTCCAGTGTTAACTGAGGAAATGCCGTGCGGTTTCACAAGTGGCGACTGTTTTGACACCCGAGGGCCCAGAGTAGGAACAATCTGCTGATATTTCCACTTGTGTGACACACATGCAGAGACCCCCCCCCCACACACACACCCCCCCCACATCCCCACTCACCCCTCTAAGCCCCCGGCCGCGAGAATGCCAATGGGACAGGAAGGGAGGGGAAACAGGAAATACTCGTCTCCCCAAAGCACATATTAATAATAGACATTGGCTTTTTGTAGTCGTCTGTTCCAGAAATGAGCACAGCGTTTTGTACCAATGCTCGATTCTCAGCATTCGTCGGAACAATACCTTGCGCTTTATTACCGGAAATTCATTTTTTTTGTGACTGGTAAGAATCAAGCTTTCAAACTCGATTTTTTTTTTATGCACACCATATTTGTATACGTGCTTGTTCTCAACATTCAAACAAATCTTTGTAAACATACAGAACAACGGCAATTAACGCTTCATTCTCAGCATTTACAATCATAAACGTACGTGCTGCATGACGCTCGCTTTCGCGGCGTGACTTCCTGTCCAGCTGTTGCTGCTGTCAGTCTGAGTCAACAGATGTGTGTGTGTGTGTGTGTGTGTGTGTGTGTGTGTGTGTGTGCGCGTGTGTACACATTCATAGCGTTTTCTCCCGGGCGCATTTGATCGCAGAGCCTTTGAAAACACTTGACTATTTGTTATGCTCGAGTACCGTGATGACACAAAAATGTGCCATCTGTTACAAGAGTTGGCGAGTTTTTTTGGGTGATTCCCGTGTTTGTCAAGTGTGCGTGCGCGTGTGTGGTGTCTGAGGTTGTGTGTGGGCGAGTGTGTGAAGTGTAATGGTTCTGCTGGCAGCGTGGGTGCAATAACAACAAAACCCATATTGAAGGGTGTGCTGAGGGGGATTTACATTAAAAAACATTTTTTTTTTGTGGGAGGGAGGGGTGTTTATCTCCTATGGATTGCAGTCAAGCTGATAATTGTGGTTCCCGTTTGCCAGCCTCCCCACCCAAAGGATTCTGACTGTGTTGTGAAGTCTTCTGGGAAAATGTTTTGCTGTTGAATGTTTATTCACATGACTCTCTGGCTGGCCATGCATTTGGGCCTCGACACAAATGTACAAGACTGTTTTTTTGATGGATGGCTGTGTGACTAAGTGCAGACATTTCATATCCACAGAATCTCCTAAATAAACTTGACTTTTGGCACAACAATGTGGAGATAACATCGCAACCAAATCAAATGAACTCATCCAAAATGCATCATCATATAATTAGAAAAGATGGACGATGTGGGTGTTGGTCCACTGCACACAAATGGTTTATTCACGCCAAAAAGGAAATATTTGTTAAATATTTCCATATCTTAACATAAAAATCATAATGTACACCAATAATTATTTTGAGAGAACAATGAGAAACAAATCATATTTAAATGAAAAACATTATTGCACTGAAATATTTTTTACAAATTAAAAAGTATTTCAATCCATGCAAATCTGTTTTTTATTTATAAAAAATAATCTTGAGATATTCTCAGAAATTTTTTGAATAATTAAAAAGATTGGTAAAATACTGCAGTGATTCTGAAAAAATGTCTCCTTTTTATGTTAAAGTATAACTTTCTCTAATATTTTTTGAAATTTTAAAAAACATGTAAAGTATCGTGCACCTCTTTGATTAGTTCAATTGAAAACTTAAATTGAGATAGGTCAGTACTGATACCAGGTATCAGTATCGGGCCAATACCAGCCTTATTTTAAGGTATCGGGTGCTCGGGGTTGATACCAGCCACCGATACTTAAGGCAAACAAAATCTGACATTGAGTCCTCTTCACCAGTAGTTGGCGCAATACTACGGCAGTTTGACACATCGGTAAATCATCATCTGCATCTGATAGAATTTCAGACATCAAAAATACTGCAGATATCAATACTCAGAATCATTGAGTACCAGAAGGGTGAATACTGGTATCAGTCTAGAAAAAAAAAAAGGGTAAATAAGTAAGGTATCAAACTTCACCAAATAATAATAAAGACACAACAATATTTATTAACCATAACCTTTTAGTATGGGCCAATACTTTTAAATTAAAAAGTCACAGACTTTTAATCATTTCTGGAGGGGCCTCCATCTTGAACAGATGGAAGTATACCGACTGCAAATGGCGAAATTTTCAGGTTGTCACAAAACCATCGCACTCCTCCTTTCGATAGTCAACTGTGCACGTGTCCCCGATGCGTTTTTTTAATGGCAAGTACAATAACAGAAAAGATGAGACACCAGTGTGCCATCTCGCAACTGACCCAATAATGAAATTGCGGCGATGTTGTTGTTGCTATGTGCAGGATGCTTTTGTGGAGCTCTACGACCGTCAGAGGGACTCTGTCTTCAGCTGCACGTGGCCGTCCATCAAGACAGTCTTCGGCCTGGCCGCGCTCGGGGCGGCCAGCCTCACCATTGGCGCGTACCTCACCCAGAAGTGAGCCGCCTTTTCCGCCACTCCTTTTCGTCCTTCACACACACACACACACACACACACACACACACACACACACACACACACACACACACACACACACACACACACCATCCACCATCCCCTCCAATAAAGATACACTACGTGATGGAGGCAAGCACATCATCATGCTGCCAACACCGACGACAATGGAAGATTCTTCTTTTTTTGTGTTCATAACCTCGCCTTCTTCTCGACTAGTAGTAGCATGAACCTTGCGTTAGCTTAGACAGTAGTTGCATGCGTCATGTGGGGAGATGAGACAATGGGGACGAACAATTACGGTGCCCCTGCTTGTTAGGGTGGAGGACTCCGTTTGAACCATGGACTCCGGTTACAAACTTAGACCCACCACCCCTCCCTTGTCAGCCACTCATCAAACGACTTCCTGTGAAGAACAGCTGCTCGGAATGTATAATGGACCAGCGTGGTAAGTGTGTACTGTGTGTTATAGTGTACACGGTTGGACACAAGAATTGGGACAACGACAGCAAGCCTGTGATTGAACGCAATGCAGTTTTCTCCAGTGGAAATCGAGAAAATATAAATAACATGCTCCAGACCAGCCCTGCAGTAAGTTATATTAGTAAAAGAGAAAATACTGTAATTTATACAACCTAGGAATGTTTTTCCAAGCCAACAAACTTATCTCCCTCGAGTCTTTCCAATAAGAACTCCCATGCTATATTTAAATACTGAGGAGCGAATGGGCTACAATTCTTCAGACGCGTGTTGTCGTAGGACAAACAAATGTGCGATAGTGCTGTATGTCTAGAAATGGTTTATTTTTCCCAAAAAGAACACAAATTCCAAATATAAGAGTTCAATGTAAATCAATTCAATTTTCCACGCTTTTCCAAATCAAAACACGATACAAGTTAACACAAACCTGTACTCGGTCAACAAACGACACACCTCTGCCAATTCACACCCTAGGCCTAGACACTCCTAACCCTTTTATGGGACATGCGCCACCATGTGTTACAACCAAAGAATTACATGTCCCAAAAATGTATTATAATATGCCACAAACATCATTTCACAATATACATTCTGTCCAAAGATATACATTATAAAATGAACCAAGATGAGTCGCATTCTGTAGGAGTAAAAAGCAGGATTGATGAGGATTTGACATGAATGATGGTCAGCAAAAACTAGGCTGAGCTTGATGTACTTCCATACTTTAACAGCATGTCAAGCAAAATAGAGGTTGAGAGTGGAATTACAGCCAAGATAAACAGGAGGAAAAATGTCAAGCAAAATAGAGGTTGAGAGTGGAATTACAAGGAAAAGCTAAATCATTACGAACTACAAAAAAAAAAAAAAATCAACCTGTAACCAACGATGGAAGGGGCGAAGAGATTGCTGAAATCCAATTCAAACCTCATCATATAAAGTTACACCAGTGGCTGCATTTTTTCTCGCGGACCAAGTTGAGATCTGCGCGAGGGTCAATCAGCTGGTGTGCAGGTGTGAGCCACCGACTGTTTTCACCAATCTCCAGTTCATTGGTGTTCAACTATTCTGCTCAGTGTGTGCCTCGCTTTGTGCACTGGGAACATAAACGGGCCTTCGCAAAACAATTCACGCAAAATTGGACACACAGAATGGTTTGAAATGGGTCAACTCAACGGTTCATTCACAGATGAAGATGTGTGTCCCAATACTTGTGTCCATATCGTGGCACTCTAACAGTAGGGTTTTCAAAAGTTCTGCGGATAGGATTTTTAGCTCCAAAACGCTCAAGCACAGACAAGTGAACGTTTGGAGGACACAAAGCCGAAGAAGATGTCTGACGGAGAAAGGAAGGATGGAAAAAGCATGTTGAATCGAGCACAAAAGGAGTGACGCGGATGGGGCAATTTAGAGTCTCATGGAAGGGGATTAGCAAAGAAGCTTTGCTGGTGTAAAAGAATCATCCGGAGAAGTCGTGACCCAACTTGGACAACCTTATTTGGAGTTGTTTTTTTTTCTTGCGGCTTTCCGACTCTGTAGCAGTTATACACAAAAATGTGCGCGCTGGCTGCTCAGCTACCTAAAGCAGGGTACACAAATAGATTTTTTTTTGGTTTGTATGCGATCGTAAATATTGAACGGGTTCAACATTTACGATTGTATAAGATAATCGGGCTTCATGCTCATATTCAAGCTGCATGTTTGTACCCTGCTGCAGTAGTGTTCTGGTCCAGTACTGGCCTCACACAAGGATTTGGAAAATCACAGTAGCCAATCCCCTCCCCTAAACAACATTTTAGATATTTAAAAAAAAAAAAAACAGTTCCTGTGTGCTGGAACCTAAGAAGTCCCTCCCCTCACTGAACAGCTCCTGTTTTATCGATGTTTGTCTTGTGTTTCAGCCTAACAGGAAAACTGGAAGTGATCCATGATTTGTGTGTGTGTGTGTGTGTGTGTGTGTGTGTGTGTTTTTTGGAAGACTTTGCATGAGTGAAAGAAACTGATGTCTTGATATTTATACATCAGAATTGCATCGAAGAGGACAAAACCAACAACATTGTCTATTTATTGAGAGGTACCGGATTTTTAACACTAATGTCAGTGATTTTCTTTCTTCCTTTCTTTCTACGGAATAACACTGTAACAACATTATTTTCTGGCTGCTATTGTTAACAACACAATATTTTTTTGGAAAGTGATTTGCAAAGTGTCCACATTGGCTTGAGGCTGCTACACGGTTAATTTCACGTCGACGTATCCAGCTTAAAACTGCCACCGTCTCGTCCTAGATAGCTGCAAACCAAAGTGAACTCGTATTCATGTTTCATTTCAGTCGGCACCAGTTAAAGGAAAAAGACGTGGCTTCACATCGTCTATGTTAACGATCCTATAATCCGCTTTATGCTGTAAATGGTTCATTTATGTCCACGGGCATCATGTCCTGCTGTGTGCGCGCGCGTTTGTGCGTCGGGTCGTCGCGGCCCGCAATGCAAAAAGCAGCCACAGCTCTGACAGCAATACAACTGTATGTTTTTGTTTTTTTTTGATTGTTGCAATGTATTCCTTGTGCATATAAGAATGTAGGCACTATGGTTGCTGTACTGTTTTACACCTGTATTCACAAACCTGTAGCACTTAAAGAGAAAAAAAAGAAAGAAAAAAAAAGAAAGTGAATCGTGTTTTCTGTTGTTTACTGCTATAATCCACAATAAGCTAGGGGATCCCATTGTTCCTAATAAAGACACATTTGTTGAGTAGCCGCCAAGTCTGTTTGCTGAGTCTCATTTTTGTACATTTTGAAGATTCGTCCGGCTCTTCAGTAAAGATGGTAAGAGCAGATTTTATGGGGGGCGTGTCACGTAACATATTTGACTGCAACAGAGTTGGCTCTCTCGAGTTCTTGATCCGGTGTGAAACTGAATAACCAAGTGGTCCTAAAGTGCCTATTTCTGAATAAGCATCTGTGAGAGAGGCCGTTACGTAACAGCGAAATCAATGTCTATCATAATTGACCCTGCACCGAGTTTCTCCGCCCATGACTTGAAAGCTAGGCTGGCCGAAGATCAAGAGGCCCTTTCAAGTGACTGCCAGGGTTGGTCAAAATCTAAGCACAGCTGCATTGATTTGTGGGATGCGAGTACAGTCAGCCACCGTTTAATTGCAGGGGCTATGTTTCAGACCCAAAGGGCACTGGATGGAAGTTTGACACACCCACTTGATGTTGACTGTACAACTGGCTCATAAAATAATGGATGAACTTTGAAAAAGTTCTGAGCACCAAAGCTCCAGTGAAGAAGCCCACCCACCAGCCGAGGGCGGCCGTTTACCTTGTCTCATTTCCGGATACGAAGCGGCAGGTGTGATAGTAACAGTACGAGTAATGAAGATGTAATGAGGAGTACAGCGCAATGGTTGATAAAACTGAGAGCACTCTGTTTTTGATCAATGCCAAAACACAATTTCTGAAATATGACGATTACTATTTGGGGATAAAAGTATTCCTTCCTGCTCCTTCCCTTAAAAAAGGTCTATGGCTAATTTCACAAGTCAAAAAAGGGCATAAGTGTAGCTGAATTCTTGGTCCTTGACGTATTTGGATGAAGGCATGTTCCAGACAACCACCAAAACAATGTGGAAAATGTGATGCTTGGGCGGAGTATATCTTGTCCGTCCATGTCTGTTCTCCTTAAAAAGTGAACCTCGCCCAAGCCAGCACACATCAAAGCTGTCCCCAAACACTGCACTTGCCAGACTGAGTCCCATCCGCAGCAAAACACAAGTGTAAAAAAAAAAAAAAAAAGCTAAATGCCCTGCGGCCAGGTTTTTGCACCCCCCTCCTCTTCCAATCACACCCCTGCTCTGATCACACATGCCTTCAAAGGCAGCAGCGGCATCGCTCAGTGGAATTTGTGAAAAGCATGATGCAGTAAAACTAATGTTGAAAGAGTGCAGAGAAAATGAGCGTGGGGAAAGAGTGAGAATGCTCGCGGCGGAAGAGGGGGTGGGGGGGTTCATTTGGGCAATCCCTCCTCTCGCTGTCCATAGAAAATGCATGACATGCTCTGAAGAGGAATTTTAAATGAGCCTGTGGATTTTCAAACGAGAGTCCGGCCTGAGTGTGGATGCCCAAGACGGGTGGACAAGGAGGAGGAGGAGGAGGAGGAAGCCCTCCTGCCTCTCCTGCTCGGGGGCTGCAAGGTGTAGTAGAAGGAGACCATCCCAGCACTGACTGGGGATACCACAAGGGAGGATTGGAAGATCAAAGTAGATTGTGTGGAATCACTTGGGTCCAGTTCTCTTCCCTCATTTGGAAGCCCATCACATCCGCTCACAGCCCCGCTGCCTCATTTACACGCCCAAAACTTCCCGTTGAAATGGATCTTTTCCTAAGCAGAGATCAAACATGCACAGTAGCGAAATCACACATCTCACATTGACGTGGAAATATCCAAGTCGACACGCAGGCAGCTCATTGCCTCTTCTGCAATGATGGAATTGGACTGCACCGCCCAAGCTCAAGTGAGCTGCAGCGCCACAGTGTGGCATGCCGGGGTTCAACATTTTTTTTTTTTCCAAATGCAAAAGTAGCACGTTGAAAACGTTTCAGCGTGTCTTCCCAGCAACCCATGACTCAAAATTATCCAGAGGAAAAGAAATTGGCATTAGTTTAAAAGTCTTTAAAGATTCCTCAATTGAATCAATTTCTTCCAACTGTGTGTGTGTGTTCGTTGAATATTTATCTTTCACATACACTCACACACTTTTCCCCACTGTTGTCATACTCCAAGTTTGTCGCCCTTATTTGTTACTCTTAAGTCTGCTCATACTTGCCATGGAGGATGGTGTCAAAGTCAAGGTCCGGGGGCCAGATCCGGCCCGCCACGTCATTTTACGTGGCACGCGGGAGCAAATCATGTCTGTCAACTTTCATGATCCTTGCTGAAATCTGGACTAAAATTTCAAATTGTCACGGGTAATAAATACGTTGCAATTTTACATCGGCCCGCCAAGGAAAGCTGTAAGTCCGAAGTCGCCCGCGACAAAAAATGAGTTTGACACCCCTGACGTAGACCTTCCAGAGCCAGCCCAACTATGGCCACTTGGATGATTTTTTTCACAATCTGCTCGTCAGTGTTACAAAATGACGCACAAGTAGACAATGTAAAAACATAGTACATTCAGTGTCTTTTATTTTTCTGCAGGCAGAAAAATAGAAAAAAAAAACCCCAACAACAAAAGAACATTCATACTGCTGTAAATGTAATTTGTCATGCTTGCACATTTACAGTACATGTGGATCCAGCAGTATATTTACAAAATAAAATCAGCAGAAAATTGCAGTCTCTTTTTCATGACACGCTCATAAAAAATAAAGCTCTCTGTGACACAAACACAATCTTATTTACAGTCCGTTGAGTCACAAGTTCTGCTGCGGGCATTTTTGTTTTGTTAGCATCACCTTTTTAGAAGAAAAAAAAACATTTTTATATGCGCGCAACTTCAGTCACTGTCCAATGAAAAGCATATTTGGCTGCCTCTTGAATAAACTGTCATAATGTGCCTCATCCACTTACCGGGAATCCACATAACCACCTCCCTCAAATACACAGATCCCTTTTTTCCCCCCACCAAGAACAAAACGGTTCATCATTGGAATTACCTCATAGATGCTATGATGTTCAAATATTAATGTATTAACTGCTGAGCCCTTTGAACTCTGCTGCTAAACAAAACAGCAGCAACTACCAAAGCATGTTAATAGTCGTGTCGGATGAATTAAAGAGTAGAGACGCATGCGGTATTTCAGATGACCTTAGCTTATGCGGAGACGGCGTGTTTAATGACGATGAGCACGACTTTGGTCGTTACACAACGTTGCGTGCTAAGCAGTAGTATTTATTTATCGTGTACAAATGACCAACCTTCCCACTAAGAGATGCCTCCCTCAACCTGCGGCGATGCAACCTTGACCACCACTTGCAAAAATTGTCTTTTCTTTTGTCACTTTTTGCTTTTTATCCAAAACTGGAAAAAAAAAAAAGGCATCATTTGGACTTACCCGCCAAAAGTAACACTGACTGGACTAATATTCTATTCTCACCCGCTCTAAACATTGCTCACCTGAAAATTACCCGGACACAAAAACCTGGTCTCAACTGGAATTAGAAGATAGTGAAATGATTATTACTCTTCATAAATAACTCTAAAGCTGAACTGTTTGTTTTCTTTCGAACCTTCTGTGTGACAAAATGCTGAAAACTCAAAACCACTCAACAATTTCAAACCCATCTGATCTGGTCCACCTTTCCCCTGCAAGGTGCCAAGAATAGTGTTGTTTTTATCATATTTCTATATAGATATGTACACAGCATATTGTATGTACACGTACTGGTCTGATTAGAACAGTCAACATGATACATTCAACAAGTGCGGTCCTCAGTGCTCACTCCTCTTTGGTTTCTACGTAGCATCAACTCACTTTTTGTTTTTGAACGTTTTTTTTTTTTGGTTGTTTTGTTTGAGCTCTCACCACGTCTCGTCTTTAGCGGATGCTTCCCCTCAGTCGGTCAGGTTTTCCTCCTTGTAGCTGTCTGAGGAGAGCATAAGAGAGCAACGGGTAAGAGGGGCACAATGGCATTCATGTTGACAGTTGCTAAGCACAAAATTGTTGTTACAAAGGCTAAAAATAAAATAAAATTCGATTTGGGGTGGTGGGGGGAACAGCAATTGCTCATTATATTAGATCAGATCATGCTGTGCAGGTGGACTTCATAAAGTGTTCCCAATTTTTCTTTGCAAAACAAAGCTAAGCTTTTAAGATTTAAAAAATAAAAACAAAACTAACCACAGATTGTGCATGAGGTGTATCTGAACAGTTCCAAGACCGTTGTCACAAAAGATATTTCAAACCCAAACTACAAGTTTTTCTCTCAGGTAACCCCCCACAGTCTGAATCACACTTTTACAGGCCTCTCTGGCATGTCTTAATGCAATTCTTCACTCCCACAACTTTGCCATCATACCACTCATCCACATCTTCAAAACAGCTTCTCTTGACTTTAAAAAAATAAAAAAAAGATCACACAGAGCCAGACAACAAGTTTGCTCCATCACGGTGAGGTTCTTGTCAGGCAGGAAGTGTCAGATGCTCAGAGCAACGCCAGCAGCGTGTTGTCATGATGAAACGGCCACAAGTCATCCTGTCACAGCTCTTGCCTCTTCTCGTGCACTGAACGGAGGAAAATCCACAGGATCTCAAATTGGCGCTGCTTGATCGCCTGGCTCACGTTGAAGAAAATTCACTTTACAGCTTGGGTTTGAAATATGGTTGTGTGACACAAGCCCTGAGACTTTTCAGACGCGGCTTGAATTTGGAGCATCAACCTGTCACAAACGGCTGCAGACTAATCCGTTTTGGGGGATTTATCAAAATGCTGACATTCATTCATAAATTGTATTTGTGCAGAAACACCAGCGGCAGTATGTGACCCACAGTTTGCGACTCCACATACATTATTCAAACTGAAGCTGCGTTCTTCCGAGCCACGCAGAGCCGCCAAGCAAGAGTGGATGGCTACTAAATGCAAGCGTGTCAGTCGTTCCTACGGGAACGTGTCAATGTTCAACTTTTGGGGGAAACAAGCGACAGTGCACCCTTCTGTATCCGTGTGCTTACTTAACCACAACATGAATCAGTCCTTTTTTTCATTTTTTTTTAAACTCCCCTCACAGCCATTAACTCCCCCTTGAGGTTTATAAGGCAGTCTTGTAATGTAAACGAGTGCAAACATATTCGTAGTATAACCTTCACGTGTGTACTTGACCTTCATTATGTATATTTCTGAAAACGTGCACTTTTACTCCAGTACATTTCCAAGAATAAAATGTACTTTTTACTCTGATATATTTCATTCATTTTCCGATCCGCTTTTCCTCACAAGGGTTGCGGGGGTGCTGGAGCCTATCTCAGCCGTCTTCAGGCAGTAGGCAGGGGACACCCTGAACCGGTTGCCAGCCAATCGCAGGGCACACACAGACGAACAACCATCCGCGATCACACTCACACCTAGGGACAATTTGGAGTGTTCAATCAGCCTGCCATGCATGTTTTTGGAATGTGGGAGGAAACCGGAGTACCCGGAGAAAACCCATGCAGGCCCGGGGAGAACATGCAAACTCCACACAGGGAGGCTGGAGCTGGAATTGAACCCGGTACCTCTGCACTGTGAAGTCGACACGCTAACCACTGGATCACCGGGCCGCCCTCTGATGCATTTGCTATTACATTATAGGGTGCTATATGACTGATGTGGCAAGGAGATATCGCTTGTGGGAGGTAATAAAAATGAGACAAAAAGTTATCAGGAACTCTGTGTGTACCCCCCCCCCCCCTGAAATAAAAACAACCACGATTCTCAGTACCATGCTGACACCATCAACTCCACACACTCAAGCTTCCAGAGACATGCCTCTGCACAGCCGACTGAAGATGCGACGTTGGACGCTTCCTACCTGGGGCCAAGTGAGAGGGCGGGGGGCGGGAGAGGAGAGAGCTCGGGGTAGGAGGGGGTGGTGTGGTGTGTCCGGGTACTGAGAAGGAGTTGCGCCTAGCGACGCTGAGCGTCTATACCTGCTGGACTGAGCACCAGGGCCTGGAGGATGTCCGACAGGGACACGATGCCCTCGATGCTGGAACACTCGTCCACCACCACCAACCGGTGCACCTAGTTGACACGCGGGTGGAAAATACACAGAATGCACGTTAATGGATGACCACTGCACTGTGGGAAAAGATTAGGTGTATTTTTTTCCCCCATTTCATTTAGACGCAAATTATTTACTACGGTGGTGCCTTGGGATGACATTTCGATTTGTTCTGTGACCGTGCTCGCAATTACAAACGTGTAGATTTCCCAATTGAAATGCCATGAATCCACACCAGCCCCCGCCCTACCAAATATAATAAAGTGTGTTTTTTGTATTTCGTAAAAATAAAGTAATGACATGCATAAAGTGTAAAAAAACGTAACTGTTTTCGCCTATTTTTTTTTCTGCTTCAATTCAACGGACATTGTGTTGCTCCTGATATGTGTGCCTTTGCCTCCTGGGGGCAGTGTAAAGCAGACATACAGATACAACGTACATGGAAAAGCAAAAAAATGAAAATCTCCATAACTTGATATGCTAGATAAAAAGTAAAGACGTTTTTGCAATCAGCATGAAAAATGCTTTTCGGGACACATAAAGGTATCTCTAATGAAAATGTGTTGTCTGTCTACCTGCACTTGTGTTGCTCCACCATTTATGTTCAAATATCCCTTTCTTTAAGGGTAATTACAACACGACTCCGATGCCATTACTTGGCTTATCGATGACGTTTCCAATAATGTGTTAGCTCGTGGATATACGAGCCAAGTAATGATGTTTGAAATGCACAATGTGTATTTCCGTTTTATGTTGAGGTTGACAGTAAACTTGCCCTGGGATTTAAAATGAACAGCTTGACGAAGAATTTTCACTATCTACCAGTCAATCGCAGGGCACACATAGCCATTCATCCCGACAGTTTGTTTTCAATCAACCTAACGTTTTTTTTTAGGAATGGGTAAAACAAACTCACTTCTGCTTTGACAATTCTGTCCACAATGGTCTCCATTGTTTCCATTTTATGGCACTTCATGACTCCTTCAAAGTACTGAGAGCGATGCTTAAGGGCCTGGGTCACCGTGATGTCCAGGTTGTTGTACGTCTTCTCGGCTGCCAGGTTCTGCACACAAGCGAACTCTTGTGAATCATCAACAGAGCCGCTCAGTCTCTCTGCCGGCCCAATGTTTTTCCACTTACGATGACATCAAATTTGGAGTAGATGTCCACAACTTTGCCTAGAGGAGAGGGGAGGGGCGGGGGGGATTGGGCGGAACGACAGAAAGTCAGCTTTCCAAGCCTTTTTTGTTTTTTGGCACGAGTCCTAACCAGCGCATGAATGTTCCGTTGACCTGACTCATCGACCACGGGCAAAGCAGACACTCTCCTCTCTACAAAGATGTTGAGGGCTTTGATGATGGGGGTGTTGGGGTGGATGAAGGCAATGTCTTGGTACGTGCCGATGCCCAACTCTCCCAGGGTCTGCTTCATGAAAGCTGGCTTCGGCATCTCACACATCTGGACGACATGACACAGAGACAGCAAGATGTCGGCCACCAGGGGGTAGCAGACGAATGGAAGTGAAGGGTGGTACATGTACAAAAGGCAGACGGGACAAAGGGTTGGCCAAGAACGCGTGAGGTAGACAACGGAAGACATTTGAAATTAAATCATGTGCTTCCAACTTGTTTGGGGATGGACATTATCTGTTACAAAGTAAGATCCATAAAAGCATGCTTGGATGGGTTTGATGTGGAAGAACTTGACATCAACTCCACCAAACACCTTTGTGATGAATTTGAATGCATACAGGGGGACCGTAGTTTAAAACTGCCTGAGCCTACATATGAAAGAGAGCTGAACAATCAATCAAATTTAATTCCAATCACAATGTATTCAAATGCAATTTTCTAATCGCAAAAACTATCAGTCTTTCATGAAACATACTGTACGTTGCAGTGAAAAAGCTACAGATTTGTTTTCGTTATTGTTGTAATCAGACTTACTCACTGAAGGCCAAATTAAAAACAAAACTTAGTTATCAAATCATACACAAACATCAATACGCTTTTATTTTGAAATGATTCTGGCTGACTTGACCCATTTACCAGACTGTGTTTGAGGGGTCGTTTATCGACGTCACAAATTCTTGCTTTCGACGACGACAATACAACGTTGTACTGAAATGATGTTCAATCGTAAAATCATTCAACCCTTAAGTGAAGTTATGAGCGGCGGGGCGCTTAACTCGCTTGAAAGAATATGTCGACACGCAGTGCAAGAATGCGGGCTCACTGCATAATGATTTTCATTTATTGTTTTGTATTGATGGCCTCAAAGTGTTTTTCTGACGCAGATTCCTTCACGGAATTCTTACTTTACTATTGCATTAGTGCAGGTTCGTGGTAGAAAAGCCACGTGCTACTTGCGTACAAATCGGGAGTTATGTTACCACTGTAGTAACGGAACTCTGTCGTAAAGAGAAAAAAAAAAAAACATCTCACAGATACTACTAAATCTTTCCCAGCCTTCCCAGAAAAGCTGCAACGGGGCTCAAAGTGACTTGGCTTCCTAATACCTCAGAGTGAAATCTCTTGTGTTGGTGTCGGGACTCACAAAGAGCTGGAGGAACTTGAGGATCCTCTTGTGCGTGAGAATATAAAGTGCGTTCCCGGTGACGGGGTCGATGACAGGCAGGCGGTGAATTTTGTTTTTGATGAGCGTGTACACGGCGTCGAAAAGGCTGCGACACAACAAACACGGATGACGGCAACGAACCTCGATGAACAAAAAGGAGCGGATCTTGATTTAGCCATCGAGGCGGCGTACCTTGCGTCAGGCGAGATGTTGACAAGAGGTTTGAACGTCGCTTGGAGGTAAACCTCTGCGGGGACAAAAAAAAACAAAAAAACACGAAGACACTTGGGCGTTGCATCACATGTTCTGCGTATTTCAAAACTCCAGTGTGTATTATTTGGGATTACAGAACTTTTGCGGAGTTTCGCCAATATACGTATACATCAAACACTAATATTTGGTGAAATTTAATGCTACAGTGAAACTCCTCTACAACGAAACCTACATGGGCGAAAATACCCCCTAGTGTGAAAAGATTTTGATGCATGAAAGCCATTCCCACTTCTCTGCTCCCCCTACAACGAAAAGTCCCCCTGTTCCGTTATATGAAATCTTTTTCTCTGCTCTTTCCTCGCAATGAGATTCACTACAACGGAAACAAGCCTTCTGCAAAAGTCTAATCACACCTCAGCATGCCACAGTAACCTCTACTGCTTCGTCCGGAAACGGCAACAGCAACCACCACACTGGTTTACACAGGTGCAGTAATATAGGAAGTATTTGTTTCAGACGCAGCACGAACGCTGCATTGCTAAAATGGCGACAAAACGGACCTTTGCATACCAAGGAGTTAAGAAAACAAAAGCTTTAACGCTTGAAGACAGGTTAAAGTTAATAAAAATGAAAGATGGAGCAAGCAAAATAAAAGTGAATGCTGATCGTAAATTTTACAATTTCTTTCCATTTTTGTCTTTCTACGCTGGCTATATTACGTGTCAAATAAGTGTATGCTCATATTAATGCTGTATTGGAATAAAAATAAAATTTGCTACAGTGAAAAGTCCCCTGTTGTGAAAAATGTCTTTTTGTTGTAGAGGAGTTTCGCTGTATAGACCAGTGATTCTTACATTGTATGTGGGGCCATAGTGGCATGTAAAAGGATCACGAAAAATATTCCTCAAAGTGTGCATTACATTACAGGAGATGAAACTCCTCTGTTTTTGATGAACACACATTTAACATTGAGATTGCGCCGGAGTGGTCAAGGTCGAGTCAGGCTCACCTCGCCACGTCTCAAGCTTATGCTCTTCCAACTCGTATATTTGCACCTGAAACAAAGAGAAGGACGCCGACGTCAGCTGAATGTAAAGCGGTCTGAAGCGAACCCAAGGCAAACCGAGAGCGGTTATATGGAGCTACCATTGGTGACTTGTAGTATCGGTGAAGGATGATGATGAAGTCTGTGATTGTCAGCATGCCTGTGACGAGAAAACACGCCATTAAAAAAAAAAAAAAAAAAAAAAACTCAGCAACTGATGCTAGTGAGGAGAGGACAATGTTTTGAGAGGGGCCCATCTGACTACCTCCACGCTGACTCGATATTCATTATTCAGCACGAGCAGTAAACTCTACCCAAGAAAATGAAGGCGCAGCAAAGCCAATTCACTCGCTGTGTCGATGTTTTTCTTTGGCTACATATTCAACCCGTCAGACTGCTGGTCAATACAGAGGAGCCTCTACTGAGCTTAATGGTTTGTGGCGGTTTGAATGAACTTAATAAAATCACGCTCTACTAGCCATGGCCGGCGGCAATAATACAAAGTTTCCACTGTGCTCATTCACCAGCAGCCCAAACGCACTGACGTGATGATTATGACATTAGAAGCGGACAAGAGAAAAGGGTAAAACATCGAAGCCTGTAAATGCAGACGCTGAAGACCGAAATGAGAATAGTAGGACATGAAGCATCTCTACCAACACAAGATTGTAAATAATGGTTGAGGACAGCGGATTTGGGGGGGCTTACCCACAAAGCTTTGCTTCTCCGTGTCCCAGAGTGGAGCCGCTCGCACGCCATTGGCAACCAAAGCAAAGAAGGCTTTCTTAACCTGTCAAATATCATTTTGCAAGACAGTATCACATTTTATGAACACTCTATTCAGGACGTTCACTCGTTTTATGATTGAGATTGCCCAGATCAAACGCTAAGCCTCTACAAATCGAAACGCACACTACCAGAATAAGAACGCACCCTTGGATTGCGACAAAAAACTTTTGATTGACCAACATCAATGCCTGATGCATGTTTGTAATGAGTGTTTACAAAAAAAAAAAACAAAACAAAACGATAAGACATAATGTTCAACACTTTGAATGCTGCAGCTGTGACGCGATTTATGAATTTTTACTGACGCGTTTCATGTTTCCAATAGATATCCGATTAGTCTTGTCACATTCGACCAATGAAACTGTCTGAGCCCGCCCCCATACTGAATATTCATATCTGCATAGTTCGGTGGGAGACTTGGGATGACGAAATGGTTGACCAAAACTGTCTGCATGCTTCAAGTGAAGCGTCAAGTAACTCTAGCAAGAGCAACTACTGTTTACGTTTGCCAATGTGCCCTGAGAGCATGGAGCAGTGTACTAAAATAAATAAATAGATAAAACCATCCACCATTGCCAACTGGGTTCTACTGGATTGGGTGGCTGGACACAAGCTCATCAGCGAATGGCCCACAATGTAAGGGCCCCAGTGCACACTGAGCAAAGCTTCCGAACCTGACTTGGACCAGACCACCGCAAAACAACAGACAACTGGCCACTCACTCCCGCGCATCGGGGAGTCACAATACAGACTCCCTGCGATGTGAACTGTGTGAGCCTGTATCACGTTCTGAGTCTCCCTTTTAATCAGGTGCAATTGGTCGTCCGGAAATTATGGCATCCATTTTTTTATTTTATTTCTTTTTTGGCAAAGACAATTGGCACTATTGAAATTGCGCTGTTTATCTATGATGCTACAACAATGACGAGTATCACCCCAAACATGGAACCACCAACATCTCCTTTTTAGGTCAAGTACATGGTGGATTTATTTTCCCCATGTATCAGGACCAGCATTCAGATCTGCTGTGCTCCAACCACCATGATGAAAAACTCTAAACTTTGTTTTTGTCGTTCAAATTGTGTTGCAGAACGAGCAGTGGGCTGATTTCACTCGTTCATTTCCGATAGTAAGGTAGGCCATTTTTCTGCGCTCTGGTACTTGTGCATATTATGTCCTCCATCAACGTGCCGAGTTTGGAAGATGGCACTCCATATGAGAGGCAAAGTATTCTTTCCTCAAGCTGTTTATTTGTCACCATGAATGTTAATTAACTTCAATTACCATTAGCTTAAGTCTGCTAGCTTAATGCTAACACACAATGGGAAACAGCAGCAGAGTCTTAAGGTCATTTTGAACCAAAGAAACAAACAACTGTTCTCGAGCATAAACACAGCAGGAACACAAATGTGACTTCGAGCACTACTAAAATGCATGGAATGTCCGTGGAAACAATTAGAAACACCGGAATTTAGAGTTAGTTCAGTTTTGCTGCCGACTTCTTCACATCGATGTATTTAGAGGGTGTGACCTCAAGGAGCAAATTTCACGGGAGTTTAAATAATGACCTTTACCCAGCATTACCTTTGCCTGAAGCTGTTGTATTAACACGCAATGATGCAGCTTGTATTGATGTGGTCATGTGTTTTTTTTTTTTTGTGTGTGTTTTTTTTTGGTGTGGCTTTTTTCTCATGGGAAGTGGGAAGCAAAGGAAGTTGTGAGAGGTGAAAGCCAACTTCTGGATTCTCTTTAATCTGCTGGGAGTTATTTCCTCTTCTGTCAGATAAGAGTTTGTAACCCTTGTCTCTGTGGATTTAGTGGTTGACGATATACACTTCAAAGACCTGGCAGGATTACTGTTTAACAGCTTTACGACGGTCTCGTCTCAATTTCAGCCCAGAGGCAAAAAGTGCTCTGAGGTCAAATATATTACTCGGCTCCCCATTTAGTATTAACCCAGCTGTGCCAAGAACAAGTACACTCAAAATTAGATGGCCAACAAAGTGGACTTTATCACACAAACAGTGATCATTTGACCCTGTGCAGGTTTAAAGTTTGCTCACTTGCACGGAATTGAACAATCTCAATTATCATGGTTGCGCAAACTGACATTTGGCACATTATTTCCCCCATTGTATGTATGCAAGTATGAGAACGTTACAATAACAGACCACAAGAGAATGAGATAAAGGGAATCTGAACTCACTTGGAGAGCTGTGTCGAACACGACCAGCTTGGAGCTGGTTGGCACAATGTCGTAGCACTTGTGTGATTTCATAAAGCGCATGTAAATATCACTCTCGGGCTCAGCAGCTGTAACGAGACACACATACACATGAAAAGTGATAAAAAAGAAAATCACTGAGAGCGCGGAAACCATAATGAGCACTTGGAAACAACACCTGCTTTACAGCCGAAACAACCATTATGGCCTTGGAGAACTCGCTTCCACTTTACTGCGTCCTCCCACTGATCGTTAAAACTCTCTAAGAGACACTGATGGGGGGGCTGGACGCTTTACCGTAAAAGCACGACGCTGAGTGCCATGCACAAAAACTATATCACCCGACACAGTATTTACCGAAATAAAAATGGTCCCTAGCGTGTTGGCTCATTTCAGACTGACGGAGGAGCAAGGTTGGAGGAGGTAGAAATACGGGGAAATGAAACAACGCTTGTCCCTCTCCTCATTTCATGGATAGGTCTACTAAAGATGACATCATGTTATTGCTGCGTTTAACAAATGAACCATTTACGTCGCTTAAATATTACTAATGATCACAAACGGTAACTTCGTGCTTCAAGTGGGATTAATTTCAAGTCGAATACAAAGTCAACACTGCTAGCTAACCAACTCAACAACAACAGTATGTCGATCAGTAGTTGTTCAAACATTCTTGGTAGCCCGTGTAGAGCGTGTATTTGGCTTTTGTTGACGTTTAGGTCGGATTTGTAGGGATGAGCAGTCCGACTGCAGACGTATTGAATATATCGGATTTATGTACATCAATCATATGAAAGAGTCAAATTTTAAAAGAAATCGGAATTGTACTATTAACATTGCAAGAAAAGAATCCATGTCACAAAAGAAAAAAAAAAGACTAAGTGTGAACATGAGTTCCATTTCTTGGACTGACCTGAATTAATCTTTGATTCTTTGAGATCCAGCCTCCTCTAACGCACCTGGTTTAACTGATCAGCTCAACAGCAAGCTTTGCAGAAGCATGATAACAATCCTGATCATTTGAATCAGTTGTGTTGGAGGACGCAGGCGTTGGAAACAGGCCGGAATATTGGCTCCAGAGGAGCGGACTTGGGCACCCTTGTTTCAGATGCACTTGTAAACACAAGTGATAGAGAAAGAGGTGAGGCGCAAAATATAAAATGGAATTAAAAACGAAAATCAAAGGGTGCAGTGTTAACGCATCAAATCTATCTAAAATGGAAATAAAAAAACAAAGAAACAGTTCAGGTGAGTGTGATATACATGTAATTGCAAAAGTGATTTCTCGTCAAAGAATGTGACTTTTTTTTTTTTTGAAAGAACATTATTTGCAGCATTACCAGACAAGAGATGACAATACGTGTCCCCACCAGGTCCATTCCAACTTTCTTTTTGACTTAACTGCACTTGCAGGAGCAAGTGCAATGCAAAATCAACACACAGATGCAACTCATTGTCAACATTAAACATGTGCAAGATTCGCAGCCACCCACTCGAAAGTGTGCAGGGTGGGAAACTGTGTACAGACTTCCGGAAGTGGCAGCCAGCTAACAGTTGCCTTCATATCTGATGCAGTGCTAATTGCATTACCATGGACGACCCTTTCAGGTTCAACTTACCATCGTCGTCGAGTTCAAGTTTCTCCAGCATGCCTTCGAATAAACCGGACACCTAAACGAGACAAAACGGGAGGTTTGTAGTCTGGTGACAAAATAAACCCAAAACACTGACGGAGAAAAGATGAAGAAAGGGCGACGCACCAAAAAGAAACTTTGCACGAAAAATTGTCGGCGTGACGCTTAATTTCCCAGAAGCCCCTGCGGCGACAGTCGACGACGACGACGTGCGCGCCACCGGCGTTTGGACCCGAGTCACGGAACCGCTCCGGTTTGGCTAAATATACGCGCCCAAATACACACGCTGAGAGAAGCCCGTTGGTTGTGCGGCAGCAACTTCCAGCGGTGCCTTATTTCAAGCGCACAGTCCCCCTTTAAAAGACACAGTGGAACAGTCCTGCTGCACTTGACTCAGGCAGGAACGGGGAGCCGCCGCGGGGCTTCCAAACAAAACAAGTGCCCTTGAATTAGCCTGGATTCAAACGCGTCAAAGTCATAAAATCCTCAAAGTCGTATTCCAGCACTTGGCAGTCACCGTAGCGGAAGGATAACTGGCGACAGTTATGGTGGACCAGAAGCCGGAAGCCCCAGGCAGCGTGTAGACACACCCCTCCGCTGCCTGACCATATTCGGAAAGCCTTTGTTGCTAGGCAGCAAGAAGCCGGGGATGCCTTGCTGCATCATTGTGTGACATGAAGGCGCGGCCCACCGGCGCTGCATTCCATTCAACTGGTAAATTGGTTCATCAGCACTACGACTCGGAAAAGTGAAACGTTTAAACCACTCAAAAAAACAAATTGAGCTGGCCAGACTTCCGATATGATGTAGTGTGAAGTCACATAAATAAATGCTGACGGCCATACTAAGAAACTTCAACTATCGTAGCACTTTGCCTTTTGAGTTCCCCGACATTGTTTTGAGTTACAAGCTGTTGCTTGGTCCAGATTTTTATTTGTACTGCAAGCCAAATTTAGAATTACTAGCAAGTTTTCATTTCAGTGAAGTGGAAATAAAAACGGAGCAATTAACTCTTTCAATTCCAGCCACAAAAAAAAAAGAGAACCGATTGCAGAATTGTTTTGAGGCTCCTAAAAAGCTTGCAGTTGATCATTTGAATCAGATGTGTTGAAGGAGAGAAACAACAAAAACATTCAGGATAGGGGCACTCGAGTTTGACCTCTGTGACCAATTGCCAATTTAGAGCAGTTCTTTCAAGGCTCACAGGATATTGTTTTATGACTATGTCAACACAGATCCTACCAAACGAAAGAAAATACTCTGTTCTTTCATCACACACAAAAAAAAAAAAAAAATCTAACTTATTCCAATTTTTAATAAACAGCAGGAGAGTATGGATTTGTTTCATCTATTTACCGGTTAACCCGACTCCAACTCATGATGTCACTCTCGAGGCTACAACTTTAAAGGCATACCTGTACATCCAACACATGCACAAATACTACAGTAAGTACAGTAATTACATGGAATTGTTGACACCTTTGTCGTATTGTTCTTCTCAATAAGGTCTTAGTTTTCTGGTAAACTTTCAGTAAACTTCAAGTGGGGAATTTCCTACCTCCCTGCCATCGCAAATGCAGGAAATAAAAAGAACCCAAGACTTGAGCTGTTTCTTTTTATGAAATACTCATAGCTTTCCCTTTGGGTGCTTCATATTCAAGCCGAGGTGCAAAACGGCCACTGCAGCAGTGAGAAAAGATGCGTAACTGCTCAGGGATGCTCTACCACATTGCACTGCAATAGTGACACAGCGCTTCTCTGGCCAAACACGTCCATAAATCTGCCGCATGCCACAGGGCGCACAGCCCTTCTTGGCTGCACAGCAAACTCCAGAGGTTCCTAATCCATTATATTGATTGCTTTTAAATTTTGGACTTGCAAAAAATATATAATAGTGCTACAGTACGTCAGTGGGTTATTTTATCAGGAGAGAGCCGAGTGTGGCCCTGTGGGCGCTTCCCCGCCGTCCCTCAATCATAATCGGTGGTCCTTGGATTTTAATATCAGCAACAGACTGGAGATGAAATATCGACTCGCCTTGACCAAGTGAGCATCCATCACTGCTTCAGATGATTATTCATTAAATCAGCACACTAACTCCTCACTCACTACAGCACCGCCATGAATCACGTGTGAAGTGAGCTCTGGATCCTATTGGTCCACGGTGTTTGAGCTATGGCTAACATCCTAAAATAATATTTACACCCCGTGCATATGGGCCACACGCACGCACGCACGCGCGCACAAACACACACACA